TGGGATCGTCCAGGATCTGATTGCTGCTGGACTAGCAACATCTCCTCTGCTTGAAGGTGTATCAATTCTAGCCGGGGTGCTAGGAAGAGGTGATTCTTCACCATCTTTTTGAGAAATACTTAAATAACAATAAAGATTGCAATTATTATTTGTACCCAGGGTTCTTGTACTGGCTTGCTAGCTAAGCCGTAAGGCGAAACGATTAGACTTGGTGTTTTTTGGTGACTGGTGAGGCCCTGCTAGTTGCCAAGTGGCTTGAGAGGCTCTATCTATGCTTGGCGCGAGGGGATTTTGTGTGGCCACCGAACGTTGTGGCAGGATGTTGGCCTCTCGGTGACAGTAACCAGAAAATAGGAAGGGGAGTGACAGGTGAGGTCCTCTCTATGATACAATGCGAGGCGACTAGCTCACGAGTGGCCCGAGGGGTGTATGCCTCCGAGTGTGAGGCGGGGTGTTGGCCTCGCGGGACCACTAACCGAAGCATAATGCAGAGAAAAAAGGGGGTAATACCTATTGGGCCCTAGAACCCTAATTGCCAGTACACTATTACTATTCCAGGGAAGGTAAGAGATGGATAACTACGTGAGCAGGTGTATGTACCTGGTAGTATGGTATTGAACCTGACAATCCGTATAGGTTTTTTAGTAGTAACTGTAACCTGAATGGATAAAACCGTATGGTATAAGGAAATATGGCATAGACCAAGCTTATCTTAATACGTACAGTATATGTGAAAAGTAAAGTGACGTGATGTGTAAATATTAAACATCGTAGCCATACTGGTTAAATATGTATCAATCTTAACCCATTAAGTGCCGTATGTACAAGTGAAAATGTGGTCTGTCCCCACCTTGTATGTTGTATGTCCCCTTGCTAGGGGAAGTCTGTTGCGGGAGCAGCGTGCTGTGAAAAATGTATGTGAACTATATTACCAGTTACATATATACAGATGCGTCTGCTACTGTGTAATAATATATGTATTTATACCAGATGTTGACATAGTGCTTGCTATGTGAATTGTTGTATGTCTTATTGAATGGTAGGGGTCAGTGAACATGGTGTTGCAAAATGCAAGTGCACTGGAGATCTGCCGAGTGCCCTATAGGTGGCAGTGTAGTTGGATACTGATTGGTATGTGAAATGTTGTTTGTCTGTTGACCTATAGGTGTCAGTGTTTTGGTGTTTGTAAAACCCCATGAAAATTGTCAATGTACTTGACAGACCTGTAGGTGGCAGTGTTGATAGAACCACTGTTGGTCTTGATGTGAAATGTAAATTATTGTGAATTAAACCTGAAGTTGAGCCCGTGCTGGAGTTTAATTTATGGTCTATAGTTATGTTTAAAACAATCTTATGTGTAATTTATATTAGCTGGTAAATTGTATATGACATGTGAAGACAGTTTGCTGTTGACCAGTAGGGGTCAGAAATGCTGATTGTATGTTAAAATACCCTTTAACCCCTTAAGGACCAAACTTCTGGAATAAAATGGGATCATTACACGTCACACATGTCATGTGTCCTTAAGGGGTTAATGATACCATTTGACAGATAGGAGTCAGTATAAAAGCGAAAATGCTGTAGTTCGTTTGTTTGCTTATGAAGTGGAATAAAATCTGAGAAGCCTGTAGTATACTGATTGACCGGTAGGGGTCAGCATGTAGGCGAAAATGCCATGGTTAGTCGGTTTGTACATGAAATGCAATAATGTCTGAGAAGCCTGTAGTACACTGAATGACCTGTAGGGGTCAGTGTGTAGGCGCAAATGCAGTGCTTCGTTGGTTTGTACATGAAATGCAATAATGTCTGAGAAGCCTGTAGTACACTGAATGACTGGTAAGGGTCAGTGTGTAGGTGAAAATGCAGTGGTTTATGGTTTTGTACATGAAAAGCAAAAACGTCTAAGAAGCCTGTAGTACACCGAATGACTGATAGGGGTCAGTGTGTAGGTGAAAATTGCAGTGGTTTGTTGGTTTATACATGAAATGCAATAATGTCTGAGAAGCCCGTAGTACACCGAATGACCGGTAGGGGTCAGTGTGTAGGCGCAAATGCAGTGGTTCGTTGATTTGTACATGAAATGCGATAATATCCTAGAAGCCTGTAGTACACTAAATGACCAGTAGGAGTCAGTGTGTAGGCGCAAATGCAGTGATTTGTTGATTTGTACATGAAATGCAATAATGTCTGAGAAGCCTGTAGTACACCAAATGACCAGTAGGGGTCAGTGTGTAGGTGCAAATGCAGTGATTCGTTTATTTGTACATGAAATGCGATAATGTCTAAGAAGCCTGTAGTACACCAAAAACCGGTAGGGGTCAGTGTGTAGGTGAAAATGAGGTGGTTTATTGGTTTGTACATGAAAATGCAAAAAACGTCTAAGATGCCTGTAGTACACCGAATGACCGATAGGGGTCAGTGTGTAGGTGAAAATGCGGTGTTTGGTTGTTGTTTTTCATGAAATGCAATAATGTCTGAGAAGCCGGTAGTACACCGAATGACCGGTAGGGGTCAGTGTGTAGGCGAAAATGCAGTGGTTCGTTGGTTTGTACATGAAATGCAATAATGTCTAAGAAGCCTGTAGTACACCCAAAGACCGGTAGGGGTCAGTGTGTAGGCGAAAATGCAGTGGTTCGTTGGTTTGTACATGAAATGCAATAATGTCTAAGAAGCCTGTAGTACACCCAAAGACCGGTAGGGGGTTTAAACGAATGATATGCATGAACATGCAATGGTTTTAGAACAGACATAGACAAAATGCAGCCGTAAAGTGAGGACCTGACCCGTGCATGGTGCCGTGGGACTGATGCCTGGCGTAACGGGTAGGTCGACTTACTGTTTGTGAGTCACTTGGACACCATCCACAGCGATAGATTGAAGAAAGAAGGTGGTAGGCCGGAAAAGCCTGTGGCTGGATTCCTGACACAGCTCAGCTTAGAAAACCTCATGGAGTAATCAGGTAAAATGGCGTCTGGATGACCCGGAAGTGGAAATCATTCTGATGCTGACCTCAAGCGATATGAGTCAGGTAAGGGGTGTCCCTTATATAGGGGAGTGAATTAATTTAAGCCCCTCCCACAAATACAGGCAAAACTGCCTTAATACATGCGAATAAGAAACTTACACTTAACACGTCTCACATAGAACTTACAAGGAAACTATTATATCGCTGGTACTCAGTCCCAGCACGATTGGCAAAAATAAACTCTGCATACACAAACCTGTGTTGGAGATGCGGAGCCAGCTCTGGCACCATGCTTCATGTATGGTGGTCATGCGTGTCCCTGAGCCCTTTGTGGACAGAAATACAGGCTCTGATTAAAGCTGTCACAGGAATCAACTTTGAAAAATGTCCAGAGAACTATATTTTACAATACATGCCTCCAGTCCTCACAAAAACATCACGTTACCTAATATACCATATACTATTAGCGGCATTAACACTTATTAGCCGTCATTGGAAGTCGCAAGCTATTCCTAAGATGAGCCATTGTCTAACATTAATGGATGACGCAAAAAAATATGAGAAAATGGCTAGGGCTACCATGCCCCCACAACAATTTTGGGAAAATGCGTGGAATCAATGGGATCTGTTCTAAGACTCTAAGAACGTAGCCTAGTTTCTCAGGTATATACTACTCACAAGGCTGGTAAGTGCTGTGAACAGCCGTCCCGCTATAGTTTACACTACATATTGGGATCAAGGTACAACTAATTAGTTGCCATATAGGTGTCATCTCTAAAGCTTTTAGTTCTAATGTGGCTTGTTACCTCTCCCCTTTCCCCTCCTCGTTTTTCCCCGAGTTTACCCAAATTATCTATACAACTTGTATTGTACGGGTTCATCTCATATGTACACATCCACATATCTACCCACTGTCTGCCTTCTTTGGTGTCATGTCGCATCTCTACCATTCATTATAATTGTATGCTCAATATGTATGTGAATATCAGGGGTGGAATAATGTGGACGAACTTGCTTTCCTTTGTTCCAATACAATCATTTCACTGTATGACTCAGTAGATATTTGTACAGGAATATCTGTTACAACCTGCATTGTATTTAATGTATGAGTATGCACCTGTGGAATACAATGATACTGAATAAAAATAAACATAAAAAAAAACAAATAAAAAACACAAATGTGGGAATACCCTATACCCATACACAAATAAATATACAAATGCGATAAAAGTGATTTAAAAAAGTGCAATTGCAATTGTTCCTACCCTTTATAAAATGTTATGTTACGGGTATACATTTAATACATAAAAGAAGGAAAAAAATATATAGTGTAGATGGTAATACACATAGGACTTGAAATAATAAATGATAGGATCCACTCACATGGATCAGAGCATGCAACTTACTCATTTGCTTGATACACATAGAGCAGTAGGCGGAGCCAGAGTGTAATACTAGCCATCAGCCCATTTGACTAGACAGAAACAAAAGAGATGCCGTTGGGGATATATAAAAAAAGCTTGAAAAAGCTGCAGATACCTTGTCTGAAGCCTTCTAAAGCCCTCCCCTTCTAACCCCGCCCAGACTTTCTTTGGTTGCCCAATCACAGACTTCCCAATGCAGCTAAATAGGAAGTCTTTGCAAGGCATATGCTATGAGTAATTGATGTCTCTTGAGTTTAACTCCCCTGAGCTAAACAAACCAGGAAGTAACAGGACCTGTTGTCTGATTGACAGCCAGGGGGGTGTAACAAAGTTAATTTATAAGAGTGCCAATTTCTATTAAAATCTGCACTTTTTGTAAAATGAAAAAATAGCATGCACTCTTTAGCAAACTAAACTGCTTTAGAGGTCTGGAGTGTCCCTTTAAGTAATTTAATGCTTATGGTCAACATGTGGAGTGAACGGAGGATGTCAGACGCCCATGCAGCTATATTCGACGACTTGCCGCTTTAACCCCTTTCATTAATAAAAGCAAGAGGAAAAAATGTTAAATACACATCACTCGACATTAGCTTAACCCTGTAGACCCAAGGCTGCTGTTTGTAGCTTGCCCACTGATTAAATCATGTGGCGGTAATTCTGCCTGACATTGAGACAGCTTACTGAGTGACCTCCTTCTGCAGGGGATTGTAGACTCAGAGACACTGCTACACATCGATGCATCAACACGGTCATCAGCCATACATGGGGTCTCAGACTCTCTTTGACTCTAAATGATCTTTCTTTACCAGATCAGCCTGCTGCTTTTCTTGAGGGACTGTCAACTGGTTATTTGAAACCCCTTCAAAGACAGCAGAATGAGGTAGGACATGGAGTTAACTTTGTCCATCGACATAGGCGTACCATTAATAAATTAAAACTTTCTCGTTATTGACAAAAAATACATTTAAAAAAAAATCAGTGAATGCAAACAATATCACCCCACAGACCTGATCTTGATTTGAAATGCTTCTTTTCAAAAGGTTGCACAATCCTGAAGTAATGTGAATATTTACAGTATAATTTGTTTTCTCCAAAAAAGTACAATATTCAATCAAATCATTAATTGCAACGTGCATTAGCTTATAATTAATTTTGTTTGAAAACATTGTGCATTCTATTCATGTATTGTGCATGATTCCAGTAAGTGATTGAAACAAAGGACATTCTGTAAGAAATAGTCAGTATTCTGTTATGGCCCAGCAGGTAGGTGATCTCTCGTTATGTTTCATTTTTTTACTTCAATTAATATGATCATTTTAATTACTTGTATCTTTATTTAGTTTGATTTATTTTGTTTATTTCCTTGTATCGTTTGTGCTGATCTTCCTTGTTTATTTAGTGGTTAACTTGCCTTAAAATGATTCCCTGTTTTTACAGATTCTGACTAATATAGCAAACACAACACACACAAAAAAAAAAAAATCAGCCGCTAAAAGAATTATTTCATTATTTATTTTATTTATCAAATATTTTACCAGTAAGGATACATTGAGATTTCTCTCATTTTTAAGTATGTCCTGGGCCCACATTAATTGATGAAAACTAAACTGTAATTAACTAATAAATACATGTTTCACATAGAATAGAAGGTTGGTAGCGACGAGAAGGATAAAGTGTAAGAGAAGAGATTTTGTACCATACATTAATCTATGGTTTATGTTTTGAAAGTTGTGAAACGCCATAACCTCTACAGATTATTGTATTCACTCTCTTCACTATCAATAAATATTTGGACATGCGTGCACCTTCCAATAATAGGTTGTGAGTGTTAGATTATAGCAGGTTCAGCCATACCCAGTGCTTTCAGCCTATCACTGTAATTTTGTACAGATAATTAGGAAGCGAAAGTTGAAACAAGAAATGAAAAAATGGCACCCTAAGCTTTCTAGCACCATAACCACTGTAATTTGTAGTAGTTCTACACTAGTGTTATCTGGCAAAAGTTGAGTAGCACACCACACACGGAGACAAGGTATAAGTAACATGAGAATGGCTTCTTGCCCTAATGCTTACGATATAGATCGCCTTATGCTCTGATGTTTGGTAGCAGCGTATACATTTCCAGCGAGGTGTGTTGTTTAGAACTATTACGTATGTTATGTATTGATATGATGATCTGTATTAATGTGTTGTTGAATATTGATACGGTATGTACAAACCAAAACAAAACCAAAAAATAAATAACAATTTGCAGTAGTTATGGTGCTTCTCTCTAACCCTTAAAGAGAGATTGTCATAGAACTAAAAGAGTGGTGTGGACCTACCTATTCCTCCTATAAAATAATGCGTGGAATTAAAATCATTAGGCCGCTACATACTATAAGAGCGAACAAAAAATTCATAGTAAAACTGTCAAAAGGGTCACTCTTAGCTCAGTACAGTGGTTATGGTGCCAGCATATCCCTATTGCCGTCCCACGCTCTGTGTGAACAATTCCCCATTAGCAAAGTCAATTTCGTCTTACTTTGGCTGAGTATATCAGCTACAGACCAAATCAAAGAATGTTTTGCCAATAACGTAGTGTGATTTCCGCGGCAGCAATATACCAAAGAAGGAGCTGGGCCACAGGGGCCTTGGTTTCCCTTAACTTGTATCGTTTGACATAGAATTAAGGGATGGGGCCATTAGCCTGCTGGCACCATAACTACAACAGCAGGCTATAATGCTTGGCACTTGAAGTACAAATATATGGATAGATGTAACACATAGACAACGATCAATGGGACATGTTTACATGTGTTTGGTAAGTTTTCCAACCTCAAGTTAAAGGGACACTATAGTAACTAAAACGTCTATGGCTTAATGTGGGGGTACTAGTTTCTATAGCACGTCCCTGCAGGCTCAGCAATGTGAATGTGCTTTTTCAGAGTAAAGGCAGTGTTTACATTGCTGGCAAGTAACACCTCTAGTTACAGAATTTCACTCTGGTGACTATCTGTAAGACAGTCACTACAGGTGTGTTTAACCCTGACATTCTAGGTTGCAGGTTACATATACAGGGCCACTGTACATAGACCACGTCATTGAGATGAAGTCGTCTGAGTGTATTTAGTGGTCCTTTAATTAATGCTTAGGGATTACACCAAAGGCTAAAACACTGAACCTGCCAAAAAAAACCTGGAAAGTTCAAAGTACTATTTTTGGTGTCCACTAAATGCAGTTGTGGGTGAAATTCAGAGATTGGGATTTTCACAAATCCAGTTCAAAGCAATTTAGAGTCCCTTAAATATAACTTGTTTGATCTTACTAGGCCCCTTGTTTTTTCTATTTAATGAAATAATTTCTCTTGATAGTGTGTTAATCTTTGAATTATGTCTAAACAAAATGTATGATAGAAGCGACAAGGTTTGATATCATTCTGTGAGACCCACTGATAAATAAAGCGTCACAGTGGACCATTACCTATATGCTGAGCTATCCCGACTTTCACTCCAACTACTAGACTCCAAACTGATTATTAAAGATCTATAATTTTAAGTTAATTATTTTCATCATTTAGATACCATTCCTCATATAACAAAACGTTACCAATTTTAACTTCCATATAGAATAAAGAGTTATTCACAAAATTGAGAATTGCTAGGAATTAAAAGAAAAATGTTAAATTTACAGCCAAAAACAAAAAAAATGCTCCGAGTCAGCTATGTTTCTTGTCAAGGTACATCGGCTTTACATTTAAAATTCAGTTTGAATTCCCAGAAATTTCTTCTTTATTGAATAACCCTGCTAATATTTATTGTACCACCAGCATGTTCTACCTTGTTTCTTCATTGGATTGACCCATTAGAATCAAAATGATTCCTGGTCTACTCGAAGATCCCTTTAATGTAGCTGTATTGTTATTTTCTGTAAAGGCCAATGTTGCAGTTTTATAAAATATTCATAGTATAAAATCTAAGTTATACCTTACACCATACTATACTATATTATGCACTAAAACTACAGCAACATTTAAAGTCTTACAAAGCATGACTGGAATAGTGCGTAAAGGGACACTCCATTGCCCACCCACACCCAAAAAATAAATAGCACTGTTTAACAAATATACGATTAAGACATACATGCATTTAATTACTCATGATGTATATATCTAAAAACATCTTGCAAAAGCTGCAGGTCTCTTGTCTGAAGTCTTTGCAAGCCGTCCCCGTCTAACCCCGCCCAGACTACGCCTTGAATTTACCTCCACTGAGCTAAACAACCAGTAAGTAATAGGACTGCTTGTCTGATTGACAGCAAGAGGGGTGTAAAAGGTTATTTTTTATCAAAGTTCATATTTCTTTTGAAATATACACTTTTTGCAAAATGAAGAGAAAAAAAAAAACACATAAAGCACTTCAGCAAACTAAAGTTTTTTTTCAGGGTCTGGAGTGTCCCATTATAGGACCACTCTAGGCACCCAGACCACTTCAGCTTAATGAAGTGGTCTGGGTGCCAGGTCCAGCTAGGGTTAACCCATTTTTTTTTTATAAACATAGCAGTTTCAGAGTAACTGCTATGTTTATAAATGGGTTAAGCCTTCCCCCAAAGCCTCTAGAGGCGCTTGCCTGATTCTCACTGTGAAAATCACAGTGAGAGCACGCAAGCGTCCATAGGAAAGCATTGATAATGCTTTCCTATGCGACCGGCTGAATGCGCGCGCAGCTCTTGCCGCGCGTGCGCATTCAGCCGACAGGGAGGAACGGAGGAGGATCGGAGGCAGAGAGCTCCCCGCCCAGCGCTGGAAAAAGGTAAGTTTTACCCCTGTTCCCCTTTCCAGAGCCGGGTGGGAGGGGGTCCCTGAGTCCCTGAGGGTGGGGGCACCCTCAGGGCACTATAGTGCCAGGAAAACGAGTGTTTTCCTGGCACTATAGTGGTCCTTTAATGATGGCATATATAACATGCACCTGTGCTTTGGCAAATTCAAAGCCACTAAGCTAGAGAGAGAATGAACCGTTAGCTGTTATCAACCTACCCATGTTATTCTCATTTTTTTTAAATTGAAATACTAGAAATGAAACAAGTTCCCATCACCAATCAACACCCAATTAAATACTGCATGAAAGGATATGACATATGAGAAGTGTGACGTCCAAAGATTTAATGGAAAATCACAAGGGGCCTGATATGGATCTCAGTGTATATGTAGTGAGATGTAAATAAAACAAGGTGTGCTGATTGCTGCTGCCCCTAGTCCTTTAGATAAAAAATGTTTTCTAAACCATCTGCCCCATGTGTAATATCAATGCAGGGCAAGGTCTACAACACCGAAGGTTGTATTTATCCTGCCACAGGATTATGTTGTTCAGAGTGTCTCAAAACCTGAGCCATTCTGTTTTGTACACCTGCTAGGCTGTGGAATATCCTATCCCTTGTTATGTCACCTATTGCCGTATTCTGTCCAAATGAGGGATGCTATAGTGCCAGGAAAACAAAGCGGTTTTCCTGGTACTATAGGTCCCTCCAGTGCCCCCCTCCCACAATGTTGAAGGGGATTAAAACCCATTTAGTCACTTATCTGAATCCAGCGCCAATGTCCCTCTGCACTGGGTCAGGCTCCGCCCATGCTCCACCATGCTCCACCATGCTCCTCCCCTGCCAACATCAGCCGGCGGGGGAGACCTAATGCGCTGCAATGGGCGCGGTCGCATTAGGATTTCCCTATAGGAAAACATTATTCAATGCTTTTATGTGGGGGTAAATCTGATGCTGGAGCTCCTCATGCAGAGCGGGAGGACATCCAGCGTCAGATAACGGACCAAAGGCCAGTTTCCATTCCGGAAGTCCCTCCAGGAATGAAAGCTCATGATTTTAAAAATATTGAACTGCAGAAAATTATCTTCTTTGAAAAGATATGTTTGGGCAAAGCTCCCCAGAAAGGCTTTATTACCTCACTTTGCCCATCTTATTTCAGAAACTATGAAATTGGGAAGACTATAGAAAAAGGTGAGAGGTGGATTTGGGAGGTGTGTTGGATAGTACTTACTGGGGAGAAATATGGCCATTGGCCAATAATAGGATACTAAAATGGCCTCCATATGCATATCCTTACAGGAACAGTTCTAGAAGACAATGTTCCGATGGTACACTACTCCAGTTTAATGTTATTATATGAAAAAATCACCTAACGATTTCTGTTGGCGGGGTTTTGGACTCAAAGGCACATAGATCCACATGTGGTGGGAGTGCTTAAAAGTACAGTCTTTCTGGAAAACTTTAGAGGACTTACTAGCGTGAGTATTTCAGAGAAGGTCAGAATTAGACCCTTGGGTTTATCTGTTATTTAGACCTCTAGATGGATGGATGGAAAATTCAGACACAAACTTATCCTGGTTGCTAAATGGGCATTAGCCCAATTATGGCTCAAACCTGAAAGCTCTACCATTAACAAAGTATTTTCAAAAATAAAAGACACTTACATCATAAATAAATTAAAAGCCCAGATTAGGGGATAAACGAAGACGTTTCAAAAGATATGGGATACTTGGGGGAGTAGTGACATAGGAGACTAGATAATGACAACAGGGAGATTTAGTTCTCCTCCGCACTCTTTTTTTTCCCCCACGGCTGACCTACATGCTCCCCTACCCCTGCTGTAAACAGATAGCTCAGACACCTGAGCTAACGGAAGCTATACAGTGGCCCAGAGTGGATACATAACGATACTCTCCAAACTTAAAATACTATTTAGCTTTCACACAGCCGATTCTATTACTCTCCCATTATCTACTTCTCTTTTTCCTCCCAAAGAATTGGACACAAGCTGAAAGATGTTTATTTTCTATTCTTTCCTCCATTATTCATAAAATGGATGACAGCTAATTCTTGTGAGGCTGAACAGAAATGAGGAATGTAAACATTTTGTTGAAATCCATTGTTGTAAACGTTTGTACTATGTGTACTGCATTTTGGCAAGCCTCTTCATAAAACATCTGTTATTTGATACCTGCTATCTTAAAATAAAACATTAAAAAAAAATACTGAAATCAGTTGGTTTAGACCAAAAAATCATGTTCTTAGCCAAAACACTTGCTTAAAGATAGAGCGCAGAGAGTAATATTAAATGGAAAATTTTCAAGTTGGACAAAAATAAGTGGAATGCCTCCGGGTTCTACCCCGGGTCCATTTCTCTTTAATCTGCTTATAAATTACCTTAAAATAGCTATTGAAAGTCATTTGTCAGTGTTTGCATGTTTTACAAAATGATGTAAATAATACAGTCTGAACATGATTTAGCCTCTCTACAGAAGTATTTGGATAAATTGGGGAACTGGACAGACAAGTGGCAGATGAGATTCAATACAGATAAATGTAAAGTCATGCATTTTGGAATAAGGAACCCACCAGCCATTTGTACAATAAATGGCATTGAGTTAGGAATAACATGCTTTCACATATACAAAGGGTATTGATTAACCCCTTAACGCCGTTATGGCGTTCTATGCCGTCCCGCATTAAAAGGGCTTTAAAGCTGTTGCAACAGCATAGAATGCCGTAATGGCTTGCAGCCCCTGGAGGTCCGGTGTACTCACCTCCGCTGTGATCCTCTTTGGGAGGACTTCCTGACAGCCCATGTAGCCCTCCCCGGGCAAATGAGGCTACCGGGGGCCATGTGATCGCTCTCTTTCTTAGTAACCACTTAGACACAAACACTGGCCAAATATTAGTTTTTTGCTTTTTTCACACAAAAACAAATATGAATGCTAAATTTGGCCAGTGTTTGTGACTAAGTGGCAACTAAAAAAAGAATAAACATACCCCACTTTCAATACCTTGGGCTGTCTACCTTTTCAAATGGTATGTCATTATGGGGGTAATTCTCATTCCTGGGCTACCACACCGTCTCAAAGGTAAAATTAATAATCTGGCAAATTTCAATTTGAAAATGGAACGTTCTATATTTGACTCTGTAACTTTCCAAAACACCATAAAACTTGTTAATGGGGGGTACTGTTGTACTTGTGAGACATCCCTGATTACAAATATGTGCATTTTTTTGCAGTCAACCTAACAGTATTATGACATTCACAGCTAAAATGTCAGACGGAAATACAATTTTTTATTTTTTTTTTAAATCTTATTTTCTCACATTTTTTAAAATTTTATTCAGAATAAATTATGTTCCATATATGAATAGTTAATGTTAAATTAAAGCCCTGTTTCTCCTAAACAAAATGATATATAATAAGTGTGGGTGCACTTAATGTGACAGCGGTGAATTACGGTTGAACAGACATATAGCGCAAATTCCAGTTTTTGTTGCCTAAAGAGGTTGTGTTATCAGATTCTATAGATACATTTAAACAGGCTTTGAAGCTTTTATGCATAAATAGAACATTAAAGGCTATAACTGATATGTTTGTAAACAGGTTGATCCAAGGAGAAGTCTGATTGCCATTATGGAGTCTAGAAGGATTTTTTTGTTCCCTTTTTGTGGCATAATTGGAAAGGACTACAGGTGGGGGTTTTTGCCTTCTTTTGGCTCAACAGCTGAAAAATCGGTTTTGAGGTTGACCTTGATGAACTTTAGCCTTTGTGGTGAGAAACGACCAAGAAAGTAGAAAGAGGAGGAGCTGTAAAAAAAAATCTATATTGGTATATTAGTTATTTAATAAATATATATAAATATAGATTAATATCTATAAAATCTACATATTTTGCAGTTCACTGATTGGCCCGTTATTGTACCCTTCTAATCTTTTTCGGGTGAACCAAATTCTTATGAGCTGAATCACCACATCAACAAACTTTTTTTATTTTCAGACTAAGGGTTCGGTCGAAACTATTTTTTACCGTGCAAGTCTATTTATTTTTTTTAAACTTTTTTTTATAACCAGGTAGATATTCAAGTTAGTCATATTAAAGAAACAGTATTTCAATAAAGAGTGCAGCACTAAGATCTTAAAAAAGAAAATAAAGGGATATTTGGAGTGGTGTCATGGAATTGCCTTTTTAAGGCTGTTTTTGGTTGGTACAGATTAAAGGCAGATGGAGACGAATTATTACACAGCAACACTGACTTGATCTGAAGATAAAAATAAACCAGAATTAGTTAGTGGGGTTTAGTGATATTGTACTGTCTTTATCTTATTTTGGACAAGAGCAGAGAATTCCTTAACGCTCTTCACCTCTCTGATCATACAAAAGATCGGTGACTGTTTATCCTTGTTTGATATGTTTAGACGGATAAAAAAAAAAAAGCAAAAGTTAAAAAAAAAGCCTATAAACTCATGACAAATAATTATTTCTGTGATTTTTTTTTGATTTTTTTTTAATCCTGCTAAATCCGGCAGAGCCCTTGGACATTACAATTCTTTTCCCTGACTTCAAGCTTAAAGAAACTGCAGTGTAATCTGCAATTTAATTTATTTTCATTGTTGGAAGTCTGTTGGGATGAAATGTAAAAGCCATTTAACTCTCTGTGTACAAAAACAGTGAATTGCTTTAAACCTGAAGGATCAATGCCATTCTTTGTCATTATGACAAATGGCAAAGCAATATAAAAATTCAGCAGTGACGATTCTTAGGTTCTTAAAGTTAAAGGGAAACACTACTGCCCAAAATACAAAATAAATAAAAATCACTGTTTAATATATATACACCTCTATTTTTTCATTGGGGATATATCTAAAAGAGCTTGCAAAAACTGCTGCCTTTTGCAAGTCCTCCCCTTCTAACTCTGCCCAGACTTTCTGTGGCTGTCCAATCACAGACTTCCCAATGCAGATCAAAGAGAAGTATTTGCAAGACAGGTGCTCTTGGCAATAGCTCCCTTTTGAACTAGCTCCACTGAGCTAACCAAACCAGGAAGTAACAGGACCGGTTGTCCGATTGAAAGCCAGGGGGTGTAACCAGGCAAATTTATAAAAGTGTTACTTTATATTGAAAGCTGAACAACAATACAAAAAAATGAACATCTAAGAAGATAGCAAAGCACATCCATACCAAGTATCCATACTGTAATAATATTTATTTTATTACAATAACTAGTCATTAATACATTCACAAAATTGCATTGAAAGTAACAACATTAGGGCACTTACATTGTTCCAATTATTGAAAGACATTTCAAATAAGACTATAAAGTAAAAAAAATAAAATGTACATTCATTGTTGAGCAAGTATTGAATATCTGGCTTTTCCTGTACTTTTGTCCATTCTGTTTTGTATTTACTTTAGTTCTATTTTAGCCTTCAGTATTTAATATTTATTTGTCTGTGTTTTTGATAATGCGGTCTTTGATCGCTAGTGTTCGGAAGGAGGCCCTTGCAAAGATTGTTCCTAATCTGAGTACTGATATTACAAATATTTATATTTTTTGATAGTCTTAATAGAATAGTCTTATCCGTTATGTGATCATTGTGTATGTTGTAGCTTAATGTTGTTCATATGGTAGGTTCACCATTTAGAAAGAGCTTGTATTTTAGGCCAGTGCTCAATGGCAAATAACCTGGTACGAGCAGCACAAATCCTGTATATTGAACACTGACACGGCTTAATGAGTCATCTTAGTCTTAGTCCCTACAGCTTAATGGATTTACATTTGGAGAAAAGTCAAACGATGCTTTCAATTGTTTGCTGGTAACATGAGTTAATTTTAAAGGCAAAGATGAACCTTTTGGTGTAAACATTGTTTATGCATGATATTATCATATTTAAAGGAATACACTAACATTAAACATAAATATATATTTTATTTTATATATTTCACTTAGATTTTTAACATTAGAGTACTCATTAATAGATTTTAAAAATTAAATAAAGTTTAAAAAAAAAGGATATTAAACTCCAGGCCTGTCTCCTCTGTGCACCCCCAATCCACCTTCCGTGGGATCGTCAAACATGATGATCTCTGGTCCAATCAAATGCTTCTCATAGAAACATTGCGTTCCTACGGTGCATGCTTGGCAGTTAACCTTCTCTATTTTTAAGTTGACCATTTCTCTAGGTGGTGAGGTTTGGGGAACCTTGGCATCATGGCTTTATGAATGGTTAGGGAGTTACTAGAGGATTGTTAATCCATGGCCAAATTACCGAAAGTGGTTGGCATAGTGTTAAGGCCAGGGCAATTGAAAGCTGGTATTGGGTGTCTGGAATCCCAACCCCAATTTGTTGCAGCATTGAAAGTGTTTGTTTAGTGAACACTGGGCAGCTTGCACATGCTTAGTGATGTGTTAGGGCTTAGACAATGCTTCCTTCAGGGATTTGGAAAATAGAGCATGTTAGCAGTGAGAACAAAGGTTTTTAGGGTATTTTGGATTCAGTAAAACTACCTGAAAAAACTAAACAGAAAGTTACCTGGGTTGTGTTTATCTGCCCCACTTCTTTTACTGTACTTAGGATCGGTGGTTACTAGACACACCCTGCCCAGTTACTGTATTGGGAGGAAGGGACAGCAAGGGGGTCTGTTTTCCTTTGCATTTCCAAACCAAAATTTCTCTGACAGTGCATGCACAAACTTCTGTGATGAAGGACATTTCTGGCATATATTTGTATGATGTCATCATATTTCACCTTTTTATTTGCCATTTTTATATTTTAAGATGTCATCATATGACACTTTTTTTATTTGCCGTGTATAGATTTGTGCGATGTCATCATTTTCACTTTTTATTTACCGTATATATATTTACATGATGTCATCATATGACACTGCATTCTCCCATTGATGCTATTTATAGTAATAAGCATCTTCAGACAGGTATCATTTATTTTTATTAAATGACACCATGCCCCCGATGTGAGATAGAATAACTGTACGTTTACAATCAAGGGAAGTGGAGATTTATCCGATCACTAAACAAAGCATTTGATTTGATACAGCTGTCTGTGTGCGAGGAGGGTGACTAAAGGATTAAGTGGGTCAGAAGCAAGGCCACTGGCAGAGCTGTGTGGAAGCCCTGGACAGGAATAGTAAGGCTTATCCCTGTGACACATAAATCACTGAATTTTACAAATCTTGCTACATGTGTTTTACACAAAATAATGTAGCAAGTAATCAATGGTGGAGATAAAGTATTACCTATAGTAATTTAGCTATCTGTGCAGGGCTGGATTTTAATTTGGAAGGAAGTTTCATTAACGCTTTGAGGACCAATGAAGGGATAATTCCATCATAAAGTAGCATTTAAAGATCCTATGTGAGAATAGAAAGTCTCATTTAAAGGAACACTACATTAATGTATTTTACCCTTAAAGAATTCATATAATGTGTATTCAGCCACCCCCACTTCCTGGTCTTATGCACCAAGTTAAAACCAACTTGATTTTCCACGACTTCCACTTAGAAGTCGACATGCACACTGTTGTTTTAAAGTTACCTTCCCTCCCCCGTCTGAAAGGTTTAAAAACTCTTTCTTTCACTTATTTGATTCCAGCGCGGAAGTCCCTTAGTGCTGAATCGCGCTCCTCCTCCTTCGCCGACGTCAGCTGATGGAAGGGAACCATCAACTAACTGGAGGAGAGCGCCACGCACTATAGGCCTTCCCCATAGGAAAACATTGACTTAATGCTTTTCTGTGGGGATTTTGAAGATGCTAGATTTTCACATAAAAAGCGTGAGGACGTCCAGCGTTGTTTCACACAGTCAAACTCCTTGAAACTGCAGGAAGAGCCAACACTGCAATGCAAACATTACAATTTCTCTAAAACTGCAATGTTTTCAGCTGCAGGGATAAGGCACCAGGAAAACTGCTCCCTCACCACTTTAATGAGATGAAGTAGTCTGGGTGCCTATAGTGTTCCTTTAAATGTACGTGTTTGGTGGTGGAGCGCTTATTATCTTAAAATTAAACAAATCTTCCTAACAAAAAAGTGCTTATACATGAAAATATGTGCAAATATACTCATAAAGTGTTTTAAATTAATGTAAACAATGTATTGTACTCTTGTGCTGTTTATAGTGCTTATGGTACCACATAAATGAGGTTGTGTCTTTAAATAACATGTTAAACCTGTGTTATACACTTTTATACCTTTTAATCGTTATTCAGATCACTCTTTAATTTAATTTGAAACACATTTTAACATTTATAAAAAACCTTGTCCCCTTAAATATACCCACAACATACGGTTATATTGTGCACTTATATGAGAACTGCCTTAATCTGCCTACTAAACAGAGCAGACATTGTTCATTTTTAAGTGAATTATCAATTTTATTTCTGAATGTTCACGTAACGCCTAATTCTTACAACACCATATGCAACATGAAACATCTAAATTTGTGACAATTTGTAAACATTTTCAAATTTCCCGAGCTTTAGAAACATTGAGATATTTTGCAGTGCACTCCTTTGTACAAGTATGAAAATATTAAATAACTATTATATTCACAATGAAACAAACATGTAACATGGAAAGTAAACATATGTTACATACTGTATAAGTAACAATGTAACATAGTAAGGTCCTTTGCATGTTCTTGATATCACTTTTCTGTCGTCCAACAGCTCTTTCTCACACGATATTGCGCAATATCAAGACACAGTATGAAGGCATGGCGATTATGGCCTCAATCATTATTTATCATGCTTTCTGAGTGTCTGGGCATGTATGATATAGCATGTTAACGTGGATCGAAATGCGGATCAGAGATGAGCAAGGATTATGAGAATCAGGCATTAATGGCCAGAAATTAGAATCTACAAATAGCAGAAAGCACCTTTAGTTGTGAAATGTAACAACTTAAATCCTTCTGAAATGAAAGGCAGACAAGGAAATCGAAGTGATTAGAAAAGAGAGGCCATTGATAAGCGACAGTTTTTCTATCTTTTATCAGCAAAGTAATCTTAGCTTTTGATGAGATTCAGGCCTCATTTGCAGAGGATTAAAGACCTTGATAATCCGAGGTCCTAAACCCGTTCCCTTTCTGCATAGATTATTCATACGTCATATATGGAGTGCTATGCTGTGTTAATGAAGACCCTCTCTCCAGAATAAGGCAGCTTAGAACCGAGAGCACAGATGTTGGGCATTATTTCCTGTCTGCTATTATGCTACCAAAAATGCTTTTAACAATATTATCTTTGTGTCTGTTGTTTGTTTACAAGCACCTAGTTATGTCAGCACGGCGATTATTGACATCCGATATTGTCAGTGTATTGCTGTTTGCCTTCTTTCAGACTCTGTCTTATCCCCGTCATCAAGTCGAATTGTAAAGAATAGTTTCAAATCATCAGTTAAATAGTCAATAGCGGTCAGTGGGGGGTTATAATACACAGGTACATTGTGCATTGGGCAGTGTGATGCAAACTGTTATTCAGTTGAGGGTTTAATCTGCATTCAATTACATTCAATCCATAGGATTCCATCAATACTTTCATAGCTTATAGTGTTTACTATTAAAAATGGCCCCTCCTCCGAGCATGGCTAAACTTCAGCTTTACCTGCCTACTGTTGTTTGCCAACTTTATACATCTGTCTGGGGCCATGATCCATACCTGTTTCTACATGGGGACCTTTAAAAATGACAGGGGGTGTATTTTGAGACCACTGGGCTAGATATCCTCCCATGTTATAAAACAGAAGAACGCTAATATTGGCCAAAACTCAGATAACATGATGGACTAACATCGAATGAGCTGAAGAGGCTCTAAAACATGTGAGTGAGGAGTCAGTGCCTCCTAGTCTTAGTACATGAGTTTAATATAATAATGTAGGCTAAGGACAGAAATGCACTACAAATTGAAAAATTGCTTACTGTTAGCCAAACTATAAACCATGTTATAATTGCAGCAAGGAAATTAAATAAACCAGAAATTGTTGTGAATTAACCATTTTAAGCTTGGATAGCCAAGATGGGAAAATTGATGATTAGGATATTTTTTCCAATTTGGCTAATTTGTCAAAAATTCATAGTTACCTTGGTAGTCCCTGATAATTCACAGTTTAGTGGATAACCATATGAATATATAATATAAATAAAAAAATATTACACAATATGTGAATTATACTCTGTTGAATCTGGTATATATGTAATTATTTAGGAGTTTGCTTCAGTAACAAAATGTTAGATAATTTCATCTCAACATTGGTGGCCACAAAATTACTGGGGGTGTACTACTGTAAATAAAAATAATCAGTGCTAAATTACTGAATGAACCTACAAAAGCCTACGCAATTAATATAATATGACTATCAGTGTTTGCCAAAGTTATATAACACTGTTAACTAGACACGTGCAATATGTTTTGGTCCGAATGCTAATTCAGATGAATTTCAGGCAATTTGCACATCCGGGTACTTCCGAATGTCCGAATAGCTAAATTTCCGAATTGCCGAAGTCCCGAAGTTCCGAAATTGCCAAATTTCCGAAGTGTTAAAGTGCCGAAGTGTCAAAGTGCCGAAGCACAATATTGCCTAAGTACTAATATACTTACCCAGTGGAAGAATGAAGAATGTTACACTGTATACAAGTTTAAATAAAAAGTATACAAACATAGCCAGGATTCAGCTGTAAGCATTTGCAACACTTACAACAATCAAGTAACACACATTCGTATAAAATGTAAATTACTAAGCCTGTCAATGGAATGACAGGAATGAATAAGTAGATAACTCCCTAATTCCCATGGTATTAGAGAGTTATCTACTAAAAGGCTGCAAGACCTAAATTGGTCTTTCAGCCACATTTACTAATACTAAGTAAAGATTACTTAGTATTAGTAAATTATGCCCCTACTCGCTATACCACGAGTAGGGTCATGTCTATTATCTAAAAAAGAAAAACAAACAAAAAAAAAAACACATCCCCCCCTCCCGAGCCCCCACCTGTGCCGTGCGAGTGGGGGCTTCTAACCTGAACATTGTTCATTTTTGCTCCCCCCCCCGGCCCCCACCCCTGAATGGTGGGTGGGGGCCCTAAAGTAAAATAAGGGGGTACTTAGTTAATGGTCCCCCCTCATTATTTTTAGGGTGAGGGGGGTAGGTAGGGGTTATTTTTTGGGGGGGAGGGGAGTGACTAGGGGTTTGGGGACACCTAGTCACCTAGGGTGGGGGGTTAAATTATTATTTAGGGCCCCCACCCGCCACTCAGGGGTGGGGGTCAGGGGAGAGGACATTAGGTTCCCCCCCTTATTGGTATTTAGGGCGCCCACCCACCGCTCAGGGGTGGGGGCCAGGAGGGAGGACATTAGGTCTTCCCCCTTATTGGTATTTAGAGCCCCCACCCACTGCTCAGGGGTGAGGGCCAGGGGGAGGACATTAGATCCCCCCCTTATTCTAACTTAGGGCCCACACACGCCGCACAGGGGTGGGGACCGGTTGGAGGACAATAGGTCCCCCTCCATTATTTTACTTTAGGGCCCCCACCCGCCGCTTGGGGGTGTAGAACGGGGGGAGGACAATAGGTTCCCCCCACCTTTTTTTACTTTTGGGCCCCCATCCGCCACTCAGGGGTGGGAGCCAGGGGGGGCAATAGGTCCTCCCTTTAGTTTAAAAGCCCCCACTCGCACGGCATGGGTGGGGGCTCGGGAGGGGGACATTTTTTTTTTAACAGTTTAATAGACATGCCCCTACTCACGGTATAGCGAGTAATTTTTACTTAGTATTAGTAAATTTGGCTGAAAGACCAATTTAGATCTTTCAGCTTTTTGGTAGATAACTCCCTAATACCGTGGGAATTAGGGAGTTATCTACTAAGCGGCTGCAAGAGAAACTGCTATGTTTCACTAAGGGTTAATCCAGCCTCTAGTGGCTGTCTCACTGACAGCCGCTGGAGGCGCTTCCGCGTTTCTCACTGTGAAAATCACAGTGCGAAGACGCTGAACGTCCATAGAAAAGCATTGAGTAATGCTTTCCTATGGGCGGTTTGAATGCACACGAGTGCATGCACATTCCGAGATGAGAGGCGGCTTGGGGTGGAGACATCCCCAGCGCCAAGGGAGCCCGGCGCTGGAGAAACGTAAGTGCTTAAGGGGTTTTTACCACACACACTCTCACGAACAGATGCATACACACTAGCTAACAGACACACACATTTACTGACAGACACACACTCACTGACAGACAGACACACATACACACTCACTTACAAACATATACTCTCACTGACAAACACACACTCACTAACAGACACCAAACAAACTCACTGACACATACTAACAGACACACACAAACTAACCCACTCCGTAACAGACACACACAGTAAAACTGACACACACACACACACTCACTGACACACAAAATAACACACACACACAGAGAGACTCACTAGCAGACACACACAAACTAACACACAACTAACACACTCAGTAGCAGACACACACACAGTAACACACACACACACACTCACTGACACACAAAAACTAACACAATCACTGACTCTCACTAGCAGACACACACTCAATAACAGACACACACTAACAGACACACTCACTGACACACACACACACATTTTTTTTTTTAAATTTAATCCTCCAGCCTCCCTACCTTTGGGAGTGCTGAGGGGATGCCAGATTTCCCTGGGGTCCAGTGGTGCTGCTGGGCGGCCGGTCCTGCAGGTGGCGAGGGAGCACTGATTCTCCTCGCGTGTGGGAGCTAGGCAGAAAGCGCTCAGGGGAAAATGCTCCCTCGCGTGCCCGCATGCTGGCCTGCAATGTAACGCCACTGCCAGCCTCGGGGGCCCCCTAAGAGAAGAGGATGGCAAAATGTGGCCACACTGGCATACATACCTGGTGGGCCTTGCCCTGCAACCGCAGTATGTACGCCAGTGTCAGTCATCATATGTGAAGAATGCCACACACAAACATAATTCACATGAACTACTTGTTAGAACAAGAACACTTTTGTTAGGCTTTATTTTAAGAAAGTAAAAATCTCTAAACATCAAGCTGTGATGTCATGTTGTGTCCAATGTCATGTTGGGTCCAACTCTGGGTTCTAACGATGAAGTCAGAGATAGTGTGATGATTGCAGTAATAATTGCTTAGAAATAAATGTGTCGAAGCTCTCAGATATAATCGCCATTTTGCCCTTTATTAGAATAAGGGAAGCAATGGCAATAGAGATTTTCATGTATGTTCTAATGTCAGAGAGTTATGGAAATTGTGATGCCACAGTTAAAACAATACAGCAAGCGGGGGCTAGGCCCTGGGTACCTCTTGGACCCTTTTTTGGGGGGGTAGAAAATGGTTTGACTGATAATTGGTGGGGCAGCTCCAGAAGCCTACATGCATCATAACATTACAACAACATGGAGTTGTTATGGTGTTTAGACCGTCCCTTTACTGTACATTTAAAAGTAAACAGAGCATCACATGAAAAAGGTTAACACACATTACAAGTGATTTTCAGTGGTGTATTCTTAAGAGCAAAATTGATTTTATGGATACAACAACATCTTAACATTTGCGTTATTCTATTCTAACTCTCTATGCTTTTTTCCCCCCTCTAGGATCATGTGGAAACTAGGCCATGCTCTTGTCTAAACTTACAAGGTTATCATTTGACGCACAATGGCGTTGGCTGCTCCCAGCAGCAGTCTGGACTTACAAAAGGACAATGGATCGTGTGTGCGAAATCACATCAACGATGGGAGGCTGAAAGTAGCAGAAGACCCTCGGGTAAGGAGGAATTCTGTTCCTCCAGCACAGACTCCAACTGCAAAGCATATGTTAGCTTATTTACCCCGGCCGCCCACGGACACCAGCAGATATGGAACCTTCCCTCAAAAGGTAAACGTAAATAAATGATTTATCACATTTTAAATGGAGAAAAATATTTTTAAAATGCGATATCTCTGGGTACTGTGGAGAATCCTAGTTTTTGTCAAACCACTCAAAACCAGTTTGACAGTAAACCTTGTGGGTACAGTCAAAGATTAATTGCACCATAGCCACTACCACTAATGTAGTTGTTATGTTGCTTAGAGTGCCTTTTTAATAGATCAAATCTGTAATCTAAAAGAACAATTTTAATGGGCACTACTGTATAGTGAAGTAGGTAACATTTATTATCATTTAAAAAAGTATGGTCTCTCTTGCTACTATTATTAGTTTTTCATATCATTATCTAAAATGTTTTCAGTCATGAAACATTGTTTAAAAGGACACTATAGTCGCCAAAACAACTTTAGCTTTATGAAGTAGTTTTTGTGTATAGATCATACCTCTGAAGTCTCACTGTTCAATTCTCTGCCATTTGGGAGTTAAATAACTTTTGTTTCAGTCCATGGAGCCCTAGCAACACCTCACCTGGCAGTGACTGAAAACAAAATGGTTTTATTTTCAATCAGATGTAACTTACTTTAAAATGTTTTTATCGCCTGCTCAGTCAATTGAACTTTAATCACACAGGAGGCTTATGCAGGGCATAGCAAGCTATTAACACAGCAGGGGATACAAAATTCAGAAGTTTACAGACATGTGCAATAAAGGAAGTGTAAATATTAGATCTCATTTTACAGGAAGCGTTTAGGAAGGCTGTGCAAGTCACATGCAAGTTCTAAGTAGCAGATAATTGAGCAGTAAGACTGCACTGTTATGATCTACAACAAAAACTACTTCCTTAAGCTAAAGTTGTTTTGGTGACTATAGCGTCCCTTTAAACTTAGTATTGACAGATATCACCATATGATCAAAACATTCTAGAAAATATACAGTAAGGAATTGGTCGATTTTATAAGAGTGGGTGATGTATACTTAACTTGAGTGCACTCTACAACCTAGTAAACACTTCAGTAAAATTTACTGGGGTGAGTAAAAAAGTAAACGTAAAAGAATTACTATGTGATATGCATTACTGGTATAATAGTACCAAAAATAATAAAATATTACAATTAAATATAATAATAATAATAATATGTGCAAAATTTTTTATTATGAGATACAAAGTTGTTCCAGAGAACACATGATGACTATTAATTTTCTTTTCCAGCCCGAAACAATGGTTGTTTCTGCAACATCTTGTGAAGATCACAATCAGAGAAATGAATTTATTGCCCCCAAAAAAGGAGGTATCATCTCGAGCTTCATCCCACTGTCTTATTCCAGCAGTGCTAAAGAAGCACGTCAAAGAAGATTTAGTGCTGTAGAATCTTCCAATATTCCTGCTACTCCCCCTCCACCTGTCAAGAAAAGGATGAGCGTAACTATTAAAACTGAAGACTTATCACGCTACCAACGAGCTGCCAAGCAAGAGATGCCAACTCGAGAATTCAGTAGTAGCAAGTGGTACCCTAGACATGCGCTCAGTGTTCCCAATATTCCCATGCGTAGTAAGACACCTACACGTAGTGTTGTTTCAGCTCCTGTTACGACAAAATCTCACCGGATGCGTTGTAAGCTCATGTACGATGACCGACAGCTCTTTAACCTTACTAATCGTCAGACTCGACAGAGGTATGTCACCAAGGATGGGAAGTGCAGGGTCAACCTTGGGAACATTGTGGAAAAGAAAAGATTCTTGTCGGATATTTTCACAACCATTGTGGATCTAAAATACCGCTGGTTCATATTTGTTTTCATGTTGTGTTATATTGTCACCTGGGTTTCATTTGCAGTTATTTATTTTTTGGACGCCGTCATTAGAGACGACGTGAATCATATTGGGGAACCTGAGTGGAAGCCTTGTATTGACAATGTAGATTCTTTCCTTTCTGCCTTACTCTTCTCAGTGGAAAGTCAACGAACAATTGGCTATGGAACAAGGATGGTAACTGCCTATTGCCCAGAGGGTGTAATATTGCTAATGGCCCAGTCAATAATAGGCTCAGTGATTGATGCACTTATGGTGGGATGCATGTTTGTTAAGATCTCACGGCCTAAAAAAAGGGCCCAGACGCTGAAATTCAGTAAGAAATGTGTTTTATCGCACAGGGACGAAAAACTCTGTTTGATGTTCAGGATTGGTGATCTAAGAGATAGCCACATGGTAGATGCCAAAATAAGGGCTAAACTGATCAAATCTCGACAGACAAAAGAAGGGGAATTTATTCCACTGGAACAATCAGAGATTAACCTGGGTTACGATACTGGAGAAGACCGTCTCTTCCTGGTGGAACCTCAGATCATCTGCCATTTCATCAATGACCATAGTCCGTTCTGGGAAATGACTGCAGAGTCATTGAAAAGGGAGCAGTTTGAAATTATTGTAATACTTGAGGGCATTGTCGAAGCAACAGGTAAGAAACAGAATGAGGATACAAAAGAAACTAAATTTGGATATATATATATTCTTTCCATTCAGAAATGACAAAATGCACAGATTGAGAAAAAGCACCAAAAATATCCATACTACTATAAACACATCATTTACATACTGAAATAAGAAAATTGCACTGTTACGGTTACATTACAATGTATGTTATTCTAATTCAATCATTTGGTAACTTGGCAGCCCTGTCTGAGGAAGTTGCCTTTTTTTTTGGAAGGTAAGGGCTGAGTAGTCAGTCCACGTCGGTCTAGAAAAACCTACTTTAAAAAAAGTAGCTCAGTAAATGGTAGCGAGCTGCAGTTTCACAGAGTTGCAGGTTTGATTCCCAAGGAGAGATATTCAGCTTAGCCTTCTGACATGAATAAATTGGGTAATATTATCACCAAGAGTCCAGAACAATTTTGGATACTAGCAGCAAGCAATATTTACCTTTCCTGTTTAAAAATGTTGGTATTTGTTATTATTATAATATTTATTATTAAAATTACTATGAAAACAAGGTAATAAATGTGAATAAGTGAAGTTGTTTATGTGATGCTATACACATGAGTACATGCCAGTGTTTGTGTGTGCAGCGAGTCTGCCATTTATGTACCAATACACCCAAGTCAATCCAAATGAACTCTTTGCATACTTGGAACATGACAAATATTTCCACCAAATATTCCCCATTGTGATCCTGAGCCAATTTTTTCCCATTTATATCCCTACGACAGTTACCATCATGAGATGACTGGCAAATGGTGGCAGGAGGCATATGCCTACTGGGCCATTAGCATACAGGCAGTGGAGGAACTACCAGGGTTGCAAATGTCACTATTTTTACTGAACCTTGGAATTGTGCCTGTCGAGGCATTATTTAGTAAATTTCTAATTTGGCAACATACTAAATAAATCAGTGCAGCTCCCTCATGATTACAGTGCTCATTGAACCATGGTAATGCTCTGTCTTATTGAGTAAGTGCCCAACTGGAACATCGTTAGCACCGGTGGTGCAGCCGGTATAATCACATAAGGGGCTCAGCCGACCTGGCGGTCTGATAATGTCTAGCTCTCACAGGTGCCATTGGGCCTTTCCTGCCACACTGGCAAAGCTGGAGATCATCAACACAAAATAGAAGAAGGTAGAGCTGCAGGAAGGCTTACTGGGCATAGGGGAACATTTGAAGAACAGAAGGGAGAGCTAGACTCGGAGAGAGGGTAAATGTATCTATGTGTCTGTTGTGTTTGTGGATCTGTATGTGTTTATTTGCATGTGTGTTTCAGTGAATCTGTTTATGTGTTTAAATCTGTATGTGTCAGTGTGCACAGGGCCGTTTTTAACGAGGGGCAAATGGGGCAGCTGCCCCGGGCCCAGTTATCAATATTAAAGACGGCCCTGAGTGTGCATGTGTGTATCTCTAAGAGTGCATCTGTGTGTGACAATTTACATCTGTATTTTTGTGTGTCAATGCATGTGTATATGTGAATGCGTGCTTGCATAGAATCACCAACAAACACTACACAAAAATACACTTCTGCAATACTGACACTACAAAAATACATTCCTGCATATAAATGCCATCATTAACATGACATGTCTGACATGTCATAATACCCTTTTATTCCAGAAGTTTGGTCCTTAAGGGGTTAAACAAAAGCATGCCCCTGGGTTCAAACACATCACAACACATCACAATGCCACGCAAAACAACCTTGCGTGGAAACACCAACACTACACACAAACACACCCCTGCACTTGAAAAAAACACAGTCATAATGTCCCAGCTTACAGTTTACCAATTTTTGTATAGCAGTAAGTGTGGGTGACCACCTGGTATACAGGACACCAATCTACATCAAGCAGTGAAAATTGCGGGTCTGCTCCCTATATAAAGAAAGGACATAAAGAGATGTGTTGCTATTTATTCTCACTGCTTGTGAGCTCTGGGTTAGATAACCAGAAACTTTAGCTCAGCAAATCAATCAATTCTGATAGACAGCCACTAGAGGAGGACTTAACCCTGCAAAGTAATTATTGCAGTCTATAAGAACTGCAATAATTACACTTGCAGGATTAAGGGTAGTGGGACTATGCACCCAGACCACTTCAATGGGCAGTCGTCTGGGTGCCTGGAGTGTCCCTTTAAGGTCAGCATAGACTTTGATTTTACATTTTAAATTCACATTGAATTCTCATTTTAGTAAATATCTCTAGATTGTGAGCTCATTTGTGCAGGGTCTTCATCAACCTATTGTTCCTGTAACATTTTGTAATTGTCTCATTTATTGATCAAATTCATCCTTTTTGAATATTGTAAAGTGTTGTGAAATAAGTTGGCGCTATATAAATGCCAATAATGATATTAATAATAACTGTTAGAGTGTTAGAGTGTTTTTTTTTTTTCTTGAAGGACTTCCTAGGGCCTGATGTATATGGTATTGTTGAGACCTCTACTGGTGAAAAAAGATTACTACAGTTAGCATCTAATTTAGGATGTTACATTTAATGCACTACTTTCCCATATGTCTAATACCTGGTTGTTTTTTTTCAGTGCACAAATCTTGTATTGTTACCATTAACATGAAAACAAAACTGATTTTATATGAGAAAATAATGACTCTTTGGTTTATAGGAGATCAAAAATAATGGGTTAATGTGTCCTTTTCAAGGAAATATAAGGGTATGAGTCAGGGGTACCCAAAAGGTAGATCCCCAGATGTTTTAAAACTACAGCTTCCATGATGCTTTGCCATTCTAAAGGCATGTAAAGCATCATGGGAGTTGTAGTTCTACAACATCTGGGATCTACCTTTTTGGGAACCCCTGGTATAAGGTTACAGTAGGTTTTAAATGCACTGTTAAAACTAAGTAATCTAGTGGAATGTCCACTAAATGTAGCTTGATATGGTGTTTAAGACATCCAAAAACATGCTACACGAATTAGAGCCAATTCAGAGCCTCTAAGTGCAAATGCTAGGGCCAGCAAGGAAACTTTTTAAAGGGACACTATAGGCACCCACACTACTGCAGCTTATTGAAGTGGTCTGGGTACAGTGTCCCTATTGCACTTAGTGTTGCAATGTAAAACATTGCAGTTCCAGAGAAACGGCAATGTTTACATTGTAGCACTAAGTCTGCTTCCAGTGGCTGTCTCCTAGATCCAAACGGAACTTTGGTCTGGTAACTGACGCTGGATGTCCTCATGCTCTGGATGCTGTGCATGAGGATGTCCAGTATCAGATTTTTACCCGTAGGAAAGCATTAATTCAATGCTTTCCTATTGGGAGGTTTAATGTGCATGCAGCATTTGCCGTGGGAGCACATTAGCGTCTGCTTGGAGGAGGAGACAGGGCTGCGACCCAGTGCCGAGGGAGATTGGGGCTGGGATAAGGTTATTCACTGTGGTGGGTGGGTGCGTGGAAGGGGGGAGGCAGTGGAAGCTATAGTGCCAGGAGTACAGCTTTGTATTCCTATTACTATAGTATCCCTTTAAATTTGATTAAACAGAAATGGATCATAAGTGTAACAATAGATTTATATCCAGGAGTATTACCCATGTCTATTTCGCAACTGAACAAATATCCAGTGCACTAAGTTGATAAATATCATAACTTTAACCAATCTCAGGTATGAGGAATGTTGCATAAAACCAGTTATGCATAAATTAAAGGCTGGTCCATAAAACATAAGACCCTTGAAATAACGGGTCTAAGGCCTTGGTCCAAAAGATACTGTTGAGAAGAGCAATAAGGAGATCATACGTAATATCTCACATGCGTGTTCTGAAAGGAAAAACTAAAGAGGTTAAAAGTTGTCATTGATTAAAAAAAAAAAAAAGGCAATTAAAAAATCTATGGTTATCAGAATTTGCAGTAACCTCTGTCTAGCCCAGAAGCTGCCATCTGTCCTTAATTGGATATTTATTTTCAGAATGACCTACAACAGTCATGGTGGGTAAGACCCTGGAGGTTGGGCTATACGATTCTCTATCTGTGCTGAAGTCTGCAAACCAAAATACTGCTCTGTCCTTATTTTATTTATTTTAATGTAAAACTCCAGCCTTGAGTATCAGTTTAATGTGCCAGAGGTAGGCAACCTTTGGCACTGATGTTGTGGACTATATCTCCCCTGATGCTTTGCAGTATTTTGGCTGTAAGAGCATTATTAAATATCTAGAGTTCCTACGATTGACTACCCTTGTTTAAGGCTATGGACCAATGTATTGTTGTCCTTACAGATAAGCCCATTTTTGTCTTACACGTATTTAAAAACTTTTTTTATACATTTTATCTCTATATACTGGTTATTAGATTGAAGCCCAATACATTTGTGTTATATTTAAATTCTGCACAACTTGTAGATTGCTCTTTATAACTTTTCTGGTATGTGCTGTTCCAATTTGTTTTGTTATCATAGCTGGCAATAAGCCACACATTAGTCTCCAATCGACTTTCTAAAACATAGCTCCCCAGTGGCAATGAGTGAAATAATATCGCTTGATGGACTGTAGACTTTGATTATATTCAAACACATTAGCAAACAATTAACTTCAACTTTATCCTTTCGTGAAATTAATTACTGCTATATTCTCCTGCATTACAATGATATATCATAAAACCCTAACGATAATAATGGCATATGTATATGTAAATATCACAGTAAAGCTATACGTTAAGTTATGCAGGTAAAACCTATGTCGTTTTTAAATCTTATATTAGAAATTTGATGGAAACCTTGCTTCTAGGTGTTTTGGGGTATATGTGGCTGCTTTTAAAAGAAAGTGTTTACAACTTTACGTAAAGTCACTTCTAAGATAGGGGCTGGGTTTGTAATCAGATTTATGACTAGCACGTAAATTGTAGCATATTTAACCCCTTAAGGACACACGACATGTGTGACATGTCATGATTCCCTTTTATTCCAGAGGTTTGGTCCTTAAGGGGATAATGAATGCCGTGATCAGATTTAAATTTTTCAATACTCATCTTATTCTTTTGCCCTCTCAGCATCGCTACATCAACGTCTTATTCCTTTTAGGATTCAATTCAAGATACTAATACTCAATTATAACGCTCTTAGGCCTCGGTTTAATGAAGTTTCCAAATAATTAAATATTTTTAGAATTTTTTCTACAAATTATTTATCTGCAAAAATTCCCGTAGACTTTATTGGTGATTTCTGTAGATAAATCATTTGAAAAAAGATTTTCTAACAGCATACCTCCCAACTGTCCCTATTTAGTAGGGACAGTCCTTATTTTAGGATCCAATCCATCTGTTATTATTTTCTCTCCTAATGTCCCAATGACAGACACATCCCCCCAAAGTGAGCATGTTAGTTCAAGTGGGATACCAGAGGATAAAAGGGCCAGGAGAGAGTATTGTGCATGTGTTTGATGGCTAATTGTGTTATTGTATATGTGTAGAGTGAGCTGTTTGTGGTATGGTGTTTTGTATAAATAGGTTTGCTTCAGTTATTTTGTGTTTGTGGTGTGTGGCTAAGGGCTGTACTGTGCATGGTTATTGGCTGTAGAGAATGAGGGTGTGTATAGGGGATTAGTGAGTGTGTATAGGGGCTGTAGTGTATTTATAGGGGATGTAGTGAATGTGTAGGAGCTGTAGAGAGTGAGTGAGTGTGTATAGGGAATCTAGTGTGTGTCTATAGGAGATCTAGTGTGTGCATAGAGGATACTGTTGTGTGTGTAGGCAGTGTGTGTCTATAGGGGATCCAGTATGTGTTTGGCTTGTATTGGGTGGGTGTGCAGTGGGGGAGGGGGAGATGAGAGAGTAGCTATTTAATAACTAAATAAATACAATGTATATAATTATCTATTTAAAAAAATATATATTATAAAATTAAAAATAAGCTTTATTTCCCCTCCCCCTCCTCCCTTCTTCCCATCTTTGGACAGGGAGCTTGGACATTGAAATTCGTTGAAGTCCGGTGCTGTCTGGTTTCTTTAGACCTGCACCTCCTCGGAGTGCAGGCCAAGATCCCTCTTCTTGGAAGCTCCGGCACTGCTCTGTGTCGGAACGTTGCTACGATAACCCGTGGTAACGTTCCAAACGTACCAGGTAAAAGTGCAGGTTAGAGCCTCCCTGGTTCTGCTGATCTCCCCACCAGCAATGAATATATCAAGCAAGGCTGGTGCAGGCCCTGTCAACCTTGGCATATGGCCATCTCAGTCCACCGGTTTGCCGATGGCCAGTCCGCGTCTGCCTGAGTGTATAACAGAGCTCCACAACAATAACTCTCCTAGCAATTTGCCTTTAAACTAAAAGAGATGTGTTTAGAAATAAGTCTGTGTAAATAAGATACATTGTTCCTGTTCTAATTACATTTTAGTTATATAAATTATTAATAAGTAACCTATAACTTCTCAGAAAAGCCCCGGCCCTGGCCAACCCACACTTACACACTTAAAGTTAGTGTCCCTCTTTTGTCATTTAAAATGTTGTGAGGTAACACACAGTACTGAATCATCTGGAAAGCTTATTAATTCAAGGCATTAATCTCTTAATAACTCTACCTCTCAATATATTTCTACACCTTCTCCTGTCCTCTGTTCACATTCATACTAAAATTTCATAAGGGCAGCTCCATACCAGTGGAAAAGAATGCCTTTCACGTCAGATTGTCACCTACACTTCAAATTTTTAAGAAGACCCTTAAAACTCATCTCTTCTTCATAGCCTATAGTCTCCCTGGGTAATTCTCATTCCTTATGCTGTCTACCACTTCCACAGTCCACTCCATTCTCCTACCTTATGACTCTTCTCTTTTTCCGCACACTCAACCATTGCTCTTATAATGCACGTTGCTCTTCTTTTTGTGCATTTATGTCTCACCTCAGCTTTACTATGAGCACGTTTGAGCGATTTTAGCATTACATAAATGCTAATAATAAAAATAATAACACAACTACTAAATAAGCCACGTGATCTTAACTATGCCAAGAATAGTGAATGCTAGATTGTGGCAATAAAATCTAGTAATAAGCTCAACTAAGTTTATTAAAAGTAATCCACTAATTTAGTAGAAATTTAAAGGAAGTCGATGACTGAAATCTTTTTAATAACACAACCTTCATTTCTTTTTTAAAACAGGTATGACCTGCCAAGCTAAGACTTCTTACACTGAAGATGAGATATTATGGGGTCATAGATTTGAGCCATGCATGAGTCTGGAGAAAGGAGCCTTCCGTGTTGACTACACCCATTTCGATAAGACCTTTGATGTCCAAACACCCTGGGGAAGTGCAAAGGAGATGCAAGAGCAGAAAGATATGGAGCAAAATGACAGGTCAACCCTTAGTCTCTACTGGGACAACATGCTCCAGACTTGTGTCCCTGATGAGAACAACACAATTCCTGGACCTTTTTTTCATGAAAACCAGGAAAAATTTGACTTCCACAGTATTGCCGAAGAAAGGAGTAAGGAGTCAGAGAGCAATGACCATAAAGTCTGATCATCCTTTATTGCCAATAATTAAAAAGAAAACATTTTGTGACGGTTTCTTTTTCCCCAAATCTTTAATAATTTTCAAAATGTGCAATAAAAAGTTGAACCCATAAACATAATGTGGAACAAAATAAGCACATTTCATTGCAAAATATATTGGAACCACATCTGTTACCCATTAATAATAAATGTATGGTACCTTGTCATCATCGCCCCCAATACATCTTCTATTCTCTGTTAGATGTGAGCATTTCTACTCTTTTTAATAAATATCCAAGTGTCTGAAAAGCCAACTATAATAGCTAGTTTCTACCTTAATGTTTTTTCCTTCCTTTCATCTTCTGTTAATTTGTTACTGTGTCTAAAATGATTTTATTTTTAATGGTGATCTTCAACATTTCATTTCTGTCCTAATTATTTTATTCAAAGTCTTCCATTTCAAGTGCACGGCTTAAATACAAGACTCGTGGAGTTTTGTCACTTGTCACTTTTTTTCTAATCTGCAAGACAAATGCAACACGTGCACCATAGCACAATCTGAAAATTGTGTCTACTAGGCAGCACAATCCTGATAGAACTACACCCACATTTGCCAATTGGTGTGAAATATTTCAGTTCCCAATGTTCTGTTTATAAAATAATAAAAATGAAAAATTAATAAAAACATACCACCACTTGTTTGTTATTGTGGCTTGTCTCAGAAGCCTCCAAATAAACAGTATATGTTCACTTTATTTGTTTCAAATAAATAAATGGGTAAGTACTGGTAATTAAATTATGAATTCTACTTATGGAATGTTTTTTACATTTGTGGTTATAGATTGTTTGCCTGCAGACATTAAGACTAAGCTTTCTATGTGCAGTCCATCCCAGAGGATATACTTAACAGACGACAAACCTCCAAGTCCTGTAGGTGAGGTAGACTGGTAGTTTAAAAAATAAAATGCAACTTTATTTGTCCAAAGTTATAAAAAAAAATAAATAAAATAAAAAATCCACAGTATGAATGCTATAAAGAAAAATAGGCAATAAACAGAAATAAATATAGATTACATAATGTATTTCACAACAGCCATAGTGCTTATACTTAATCGTTCCTGGTACGAAACTTGTTAAAACATGTTGTGATATATTTTTTTCAGTTAAAAGCCTTCTTTGCCCATTTTTAATGATGGTTATCATACTGCTAATTTGCATTTTTTTTATTTTTTTATTGTTAGCGGAATGTGCTAGGCCTAGCACTTGTTCGTTGTTCAGTGCTTCTTACTTCCTAAGCGGGCTGTTGCTCCAATCAAAGGATAGACTGCTGGTGACACAGAACATTGTATTATACTTGTTACACACTATTTTTTTAAAAACTATTTTTAATAGCCAATCAAAAAAGCAGATGCCATCCATGCAGAGCCTTGAATGACAGGTGTCTGATTGGCCCATTTAAATACCAGATAGGCTGGCCATCCCTTTGGTACTTTAATGGAGGGTTTGACAAATTAGTGGGCCAGATGGTTTTGGCTCCACATGGTCCTTTGCTATATATATATTTAATGACATGCCCAATGGAAGGTCAGTCAGTGTTTATAACAGCACTTTGTCACTCACGTTACTCAGTGCAGATTGGCTGCGTCTTGATAGCCGACCTTTTCAAGCGAGTTGTGAGAGAGCAACGCTTTGCAGCCCTTCAACATTGGGTTTGTAGAAAGCTTGAGCTTTGCTCTGGCTCCATCCAAACCTCAGTGTATATAATCTGCTTATTTCCCAGTAATTGGAAGCTTGCTTAGTACATGACAACCCAGTTTGTACAGTACAGTAGTCACCCGTTATGATTCAATGACTCCATCTTCCTTGGAATACAAGTTCATTTACTGCACAAAGAGTTTGCTGTAATAATGATTTTGTTAACTTCTTAAATCCGGGCCATAGAAAATCAGGACACACCTTGTGTTTACATCTAATTCCAGGAGTGTGGATTACTTAGATTGCCAATTCTTCTGATACCATGCAGGACACTCGTACCCGTTATTTGTCTTGAACATATCAATTCTCAAAAGCAAAGAACTTCTCATAATCAATGCGTATTCTGAAGCACGAGCTGGTCGATAGTTACAGATCTTCCACTGCCATTCACTTGTTCTCAGAGCCATCTATAATAGTAATAGGACCCTGGGCAAAGCATTTTCTTGGGCCCCATGGTCCCTGCCCCGCGCAGTAACTGGGCCCGGGACAGCTGCCCCGCGTTAAAGATGGTCCTGCTTGATCTCCATGACCATATCTGAGTCATTCAGGGTTATTCACTAAAGTGGAAATTGTCAGGAACTCAAAGTGAAATTCAAATTTAAGACCAAAGTAGGTGAACTGGAAACAGCTGATTTGGCTTTTTAAAAAAAAAAAAAAATTTATTTACAGTTTAGCTATGTTGGCTTTAATTATAAAGAAAACGTGTATCATAAACTTGTTTGCCATTATTTATCACCTTACTCCCCCTCCCCTTTCTCTACACAGATATTTTGTTTCTTAGTTTCTGTAAATGCACTACAGGACATATTAATAGGGCTATTTACTAAAGTAAACATTCAAAGCAAATTCCAAATTTAAGGTCACAGTAGCTGAACTGGAAAAGTTCAGCTTATTGTATTTGTTCTGGTGAGTAGAATTATTCCCTTCAGGCTTTTTTGCTGTAAACACTGTCTTTTCAGAGAAAATACAGTGTTTGCATTACAGTCTAGTGATAACTCCACTGGCCCCTCCTTAGATGACTGCTGGAGGTGCTTCGTGGGGCAGTGTTGCACACTGTGACTGACATTCAGTGTCATCTCTATAAGGAGGTGCTGACTGACTCAGCTGGCATTTGACTCCACCCTGTCCTGCCTCCTTGCCAATTTCAGCCAATCCAAGGCTTTCCAAGGCGAGGAACTGGCAGAAGAGACCAGCTGCCTTTCTTTATTCTTTTTACGTAAAACTGGGACCATATCCTCCTCAGAAGACTTCCCTTTGGGAAAAATCCAAGGCTTTCCCATTGGTCAAAATTATTTAATTCTAATAATGTCAACAAGGGGGAGGATCGGGGCAGGGCCAGTGCCGGCAGTCCTGCGTAGCATTGGTAATAAGGTAAGTTTTCCTACCTTTTAAAGGGAGCTGGGGGGGGCAAGCTATTAAAATGGTGGTTTTAACACTATAGGGCAGTGATGGCGAACCTTTTTGAGCCCGAGTGCCCAAACCGCAATACATGCCAACTTTTTTTCTCCTTAAAGTGCCAACACGGCAATTAAACCCAAATACTGAGGTTTAAGTTTAGAAAAAACAACTCGTACTGTTGTCCGAACTAATAACTTTTGTTTTAAAAGAACACAGAGAGTTCAATGATACAAATTTTAAATAATGATATAAATAGATAAAATTAAGCTTATATTTATTAGTATCTCCAACAAATGCAATACATACACACACAGATTGCTGAATACATACACACACACACAGACTGCTGAGTACACACACACACAGACTGCTGAGTACACACACACAGTCCGCTGAGTAGACGCAAACACACACAGACTGCTGAATACACGCACACACACAGACTGCTGAATACACGCACACACACTGCTGAATACACGCACACACACACACTGCTGAATACACACATACTGCATTGAGGTGGGGGGTGCTGTGTGTGTGTGGGGGTGCGTGTGTGTGTGAGTTGTGTGTGTGGGGTGCTGTGTGTGTGTGGGGTGCTGTGTGTGTGTGTGTGGGGGGGGTGCTGTGTGTGTGTGTGTTGTATGTGTAAGGGTGCTGCTGGGGGGTAGGGGTACTGTGTGTGGGGGGTAGGGGTACTGCTGGGGAGGGTAGGGGTACTGCTGGGGGGGTAGGGGTACTGTAGGGCTGGGGGGTGGGGGTACTGCTGGGGGGTAGGGTACTGCTGGGGGGTGGGGGTAGGGGTAGGGGTACTGCTGGGGGGTAGGGGTAGCTAGGGTAGGTACTGCTGGGGGGTGGGGGTACTTCTGGGGCTGGCTGGGGAAGGGGTATACTGCTGGGGCGGTACTGCTGGTACTGGGGGAGGGTGCTGGGGGTAGGGGTACTGCTGGGGTGGGGGTACTTCTGGGGGGTAGGGGTACTGCTGGGGGGGGTAGGGGTACTAGACTCGGCTCTCCAGAAATAGACTGGGTATCTGAGGAAGTGATACGTTCAGCAGCTTCCACTGAGCAAAGGAAATGTAGCAACGTTCAGATGGCTAGAGTGAGTCTCCTAGGAAAGACTCTCCCATCAAAATAATTTCACTCTGGATGGGTTATGGAACATGACTCTGAAATTAGAGATTTTGCCAAACTAGCCTTTAGATCCCCCTTGGTTAAGAAGGATGACCTTCTCCTCAGGAACCACATTGGTATCATGGACATCAAGGCTTTAATGGCTACTGAGGTAGCTCCTGCTGTGTTATCTATTACAGGGAGCAGTGTATCTACAGATCACACAGACCAGACTTTTCATAATATACAGTTTAAAATTGCTGATACTGTGTGATGACGAGCAAGAACTTCCAGATGGATGCTAAATCCCAGAAAGTGAACCCCAAAGCAACTGATGAATCCCAAATTTTAGACCAAAACAGGCAAACTGAAAGGATTGACGAAATGGAGAATTTTTCCAGTTTCGCTATCTCTGGACTTAAATTTTGAATTTAACAATTCCCACTTTACTAAATAACCTGTTAGGAGTCTCCTATGTTTAAGGACTTGGACGTCCAAAACGTGTTAGGTATTCAGCTTGCCCTTTTCCCTGTTTGTTTTTTTCCTGCACTGGGCCAAATAAATTGTTTGTGGATTTTGAGCGCTTGCTATGGCATTTTTTTTTCTTCCAATTTTGTGCGCCTGGCGTCTCGTGTACCACACGGGAAAGTGTGTGTTCTGTTTTCCCATTACCATTACAGTTTTTAATTTAGGCTCTGGCATTTATGTTAGCAGCACATCGGAGTTTGTTACTCCGACTATTTATATTTTCATTAGTCACTACAGAAGTGAACTAAGTGATTATCTATTTTATATTTGTATTTGCCTAAACTTTTCAATCCCATAGGTTTACCGTAGACTAAAGAGCCGTCCTGTAACATGTTTATTTGCCTTTAGCGGGGACAGGATATAATTCCGTCACAGTCTGTCCCTGCGCCATCCTCAATTCTCCAAAATTCGCAGAACTTTCCGCCCTGATACCAATTATTTAACTATCGATATTAGATACCAATTATTTAACTATCGCTATTAGATACCAATTATTTAACTATCGCTATTAGAACATTAAAAACAACAACAAAAAGCCCGAGCTATGTCATAACGCAGCAATGACTATGAACTCTGATTATGGGCTAAATAAATGGTTCCACGGCTCGGGAAGGCTCTGTGAACGCACGGTATATTTCAGGAATATTTACTAAAGTGAGAATTCGCGTTTAAGGCCAGAGTAGTCGAATTGAAAGCATAGCAGCTGAGAATCTTTCCCGGTTTTGGCTATTTTGACTTGAAATTTTAAATTCACTTTAAATTGTCACTTTAATAAATAACCCTGTGTATAGGAGATCTGCTCAGAGCTGGAAAT